AAGCAGAAATGAACTGGTGACTGACTGGGTTAATCGAGGCTCACCAGCTTTCAGTGATGTGAAGGTTTAGACCAGAGGTTTCCAACCTGTGGCCCCGGATTTAGACAACACTAAAGAAAAACAGCCAAGAATCAAGAAAACAAAAACCAACAACATTCATTTTTAAAATACTATGAATAAAACTATTAAAAATTGCAAACACATAACTCAGATTTTCTCTTCTAATATATCTTTGTTGTGTTTTCTTCAACAGAGAAGCTTATAGCTAATGAAAACATGTTTGAGATTATAATTACATCAGACCAATTAAAAAAAGAAATCAGGGCTTAATGTCAGACATGTCTTACACCTTCCTAGAAGTTATATTCAAAAAGAAAATTTAATCAGCCTCATGTGAATATACATTACATATTCAATTTAATATGTTGATGTTTCCATCTTTATTTTAATATGCTTTGCTTTCTGGATTCTTATTTTTTTAACAAGCATCTGGAAACAAATGAAAGACAAATCATTTCAGAAAAAGTCAAAACTTTTCTGCTTTATTTTGATTTATTTTTTGCTGATTGATGATATTCTGAAAAACTAAAAATGACATTTAGAGAAAGAAGAAATTCTGTTTTTATTCAAGTCATCTTAATAATAATGTAACTTTAGGATATCAAACAATCAGAGGAAAAAATTCTGTTTTGTGTTTCATAGAACAAAATGGAAATGGCAACCCTGAAGATAAAGCTGAAGAAATGCCTTTACAGGACGTGTAACAACCAAACCAAAGGGTGGATGAATCCTCCCCCCTCAGCTGAAGTCTTTTCAACCACTTGCATGTGTTGGTATGAAAACTAGTACATGTAGAGAACTATGGACCATGATAAAAATAACAAAAACAACTGTATGCCTTAAACCCCAAAAAGATTTAATAATAAGGATGAACTGATGATGTAAGTTAAAAAAGAACATCCTATGAACACAGCTGGTGCTGTAGTTTAGCGTCTCTTACTCAGGTTTGATATCTGATTTGTCTTGAAAAGTATTTTTTAATTCATGCAAAAGTTTGTGCCAACCAAAGTTTTTTAATTTAATTTGTGTCAGTGAAACTTATTTTAACGCTCACACTCTTCTTACAGGAATAACCAGATGTTTTTGTATTTTATTATGATTTTGCACACGTGTTGCCTAGTTCTTCAATTTATGAATCAGCAATGAATTCACTAGTTCACCTTTGCTTCCATGTCCAGACCTCAGTAGTGATGAATATTTACTCCTTAAAACTCCCACATTCACATAGGAACAAATGACCTGAATATTTTTATGTACATCATCACACCATTTTGATACAATGTTTTTAAAAAGCACCCTTGTAGTTGCATTATGTAAGATTGTTATTAAAATATGTTCTCAGGAGTTATTAACATAAAAAAGTAGAGAAAATTAGAAATGTATCAATTACTATTGACAATAGGGCCATAGACACAACATATAGGATAGTAACTTTATCTTATAACTCAGCTGTAGAGACTTTTTTCTTACAGGTTCTTACCTGAGGGAAGGTAGAGAAGTTTAGTAGATGAACATGTATTATGGTCTGGCAATCATAAAAACTGTGTTCATAATTATCTTTGTCACATCAATGATGAGCCATAGAGGGAGAAATACACACTATACAAACTATAAGATCAGAGCATAAATAAATGTCTCCTACATTAACACTCAGTGGAGGCTTAGAGCTGAGCTTCTTAAACCAGGTAAATGAATCACCTGTTTATTTGAGTCAGGTCTGTGGAAGCAGGGAAAACATGTAAAGCATTGGATCTTAAAGTCCAAGGCTGAGAAACGATGATTTATGTGAAGTAAATCAAACTAACAGAACCACTTTATCTAACTTTGGTCCAGAGTTCTGTTCACATTGAGATGAGTCCATTTGCACTAATATTTATACTTTCAAACCTAAGAGCCTTTTTTAGATTCATCAGCTTGAACTGAGTCTGGCTTAATATGGCTGTTTAATGTAGGAATAAATGGCTGCTGCAAAGTTAAAGACTGTGATAAAATGGTGCTCTATATGCTCTATACTTTATATTGATTACAAACATCTCAGAAATCAAATGGCTCTTACTTTGAAAAACAGGTTTTTAACTAGCCAACATCAAAATCCAACATGGCGGCTCCCCTGCGTCGCCAACTCAAACCTTTCTGGAGAGAATTTGAAGCTGTTCCTTTATTTCACACTTTGTTTCGCTGCATAGAAAAAGGAAAATGAAAAGTAATTCATTTTCAATAGCTCTATAATTCAATAGAAACTGTAAAAGGTGTGACTATCAATGCAGGATTATTTTAACTTAAAAAAACAAAAAACAAAATACTTTCTAGTAAACATTTTGAGTCTTGAATTAAAAGGTGTTTGTTAGAACTAAGTCATTATTAAAAAGCCATAGTTTTAGGAAGAGGCCTGTTGACTTTTGTAAATAATATGTCTAACAGAATCTGATATTCTGAAGCATTTTTATTTTGTCTGGTGAACTTTTACTGCACAACTCAAAGTAAAACTGGGGGGCGCCCTCTAGTGGTTAAGTCAGAATATCCATCCATTTTCTAACACCTTTGTCCCAGTGAGGTCAGGAGGTGCTGCTGCCTCTCCAGCAGACATTTCGGGTGAGAAGCAGGGTCACCCTGGACAGGTCGCCAGACTGTCACAGAAGTCAGAATGTTACTCTGATAAATCAAGTCTTTGTTGGGGATGTTGATCCCACATTTAATGGAAAATGTGAAAATTTACTGTCCTCAGGACCACTAGAGATCTGTTTATCTTCTAGTTGGAAGTTGTTCATTTTTCCTATAAACTGCTGTTGTCACATTAAATATGTAAAAAGTCAAACTTTATACAACAAGTTATTATGATTATTATTGTTTAATAGACAGCATTATTCAAAGTGCTAAACAATAAGGAGCTCAAAACAAATCAGACCAAACAGTTAAAACAAAGAAAGTCAATAAAAATATGGTATAAAATCAACGTACATAAAGTGAACACGTGACTTTAACGTAGCCTTCGAATCATTCAAAGAACTGATGTCTTAACAGGAAACTGATCCTCATGGTGATGGGGAACAAAAGGAAAAAACATTCTTTCCAAATGTTTTTTCTTTGGTTTTATGAATTTTTAATCGGTCAGTGTCTTGAGATGGGAGAACATGAGGTGGGACATAAAGCTGCAGAAGATCAGAAAACTTTAAGTCTGTTTGAACCTAAAGCAACCAGTGAAAGGATTACAGAAGTAGTAATGTGAGCGTATTTCTTGGTTCTGGTAAAATGTGAGCAGCCACATTTTGAACCATCTGAAGACTGATAAACTTTTCCTCAGTAACTCAGAAAGCAGAACATTGAAACTGTTTCAACTCAGGGAGAAACTTTCAGAGATTAATGCACGACATATACAGTGTATGTTTACACTGCATTACATTTGTTTTTTGTTAACTTCTGTGGAGGTTTTATCAGCAAACACTGAAACTGTCTTTGAATCCTGAAATCAGCTAATTAAATTATATTAATGAGCAGCTACTTAATTGTAATTTTAGAAGATTTTGTTGTTTTCGCCTCCTGCTGACAAAAAAGAAAAAAGATATGTAAATGAGAGCAGCTTTTTTAAAATTAGAAAACAGGGAAAAAAAGAAAACACAAATCCTAACCTGTAAAATGTTCTGCTGTCTTGGACAAATCATTCCAACATTTAACAGATTTTTAGAAGAAAATCTGACAAAGGAACATAAAGGGTTCATGCTGGGAGGGAGAATTTATTTGTTTACTATGAATTAAATACTTGATGTGAGATATTAATGCCTTCCAA